TTATAAAATAGTATCAATATATTTAAAACATATTTGGACATGTCTAAAAGTTAACGATTATATTAGTTGTACCTAATTTGAGATTTAATTGATGGAGACCCAATGGTTTGTGACCATTGGATAAATAATAGAGTTTATTAAATATTAAAACTTGTTATTATACTTAATATCGTAATGTATTAGGTCTTTAAATTATGTTTCAATATCATTATTCAAAAAATAAACAATCATTTAGGTAGGGGTCTATTAAAATCAATATCACCNTAAATTAATTTTACCAACAATATTTTTTATATATATAAAATCGCAGTGATAATCTTCTATTTACAATTATATAGTTTATTACATAACGACACATATCTTTATATAATAACGAAATAATCTTACAATTTTAAAAAATTATAAAATAGTATCAATATATTTAAAACGTATTTGGACATGTCTAAAAGTTAACGATTATATTAGTTGTACCTAATTTGAGATTTAATTGATGGAGAGCCAATGATTTGTGACCATTGGATAAATAATAGAGTTTATTAAATATTAAAACTTGCTATTATACTTAATATCGTAATGTATTAGGTCTTTAAATTATGTTTCAATAACATTATTCAAAAAATAAACAATCATTTAGGTAGGGGTCTATTAAAATCAATATCACCAGAACACAATATTAGGATGGACACAATTAATATATCTAAATTTTATTTCAAAAAATACATGTTTAATATGAAACAAAAAAAAATTGAGAGGGGGCAAAAGTTTTATTTTTTTAATAGGTTTGGGTGGATTGTGATAGGTCAAATATTTGTTTTTTAATAAATTTGGGTAGATAGTGGTGGACTCAATTTTTTTTGTTTTAAATGGACTTAATTTTTTAATTTTTTTGAGTAAATAATACGGGCCTATATCTAACTAATAAAAAAAAAAAATTTGGGGGGGGGGGGGGGGGGGGGAACTTGTCCACGCTGACCCATGCCTACCTCCGCCTATGGGTTTGGGTATTATGAACGGATTTACTCATCAAATCTGTATATTAAATGGTCCACATGAATTTAATACGATACAAACCTTATAAAACCTTAGAGATATGTTCATGAATATTTGAAGGAAAAAACATTTGCACCGTAGGAAAGAAAAACATATCGCAAGCTCAAAATGCTACATTTCCACCTTGGTTCCCTATATTTAGTCCAAATAGTATTTTCTTTTAAATTTCGGATTGTCTATCCCGCCAAATTTTGCACCTAACAAATCATCTGGGTTTGTAATTGTATGGAATGGCAGTTGGACGGGAGGTGGTGGACCCCTATTTGACAACTTGTCGGATACAATTATGTCGATGTGATGGTGTTAATTTTTAAAAGTTAAATTACTTGTTTTAAAAATGAAGTTATAATTAATTTAAATTATTTATGAACAACGATGAAAAACTTAAATCAATTGTAACTTTATTTTTAAAAGATATAAATTAATTATTAATAATTTCTTGAGGAATAAAAAATAAATTGAATGTTGAGTTAGAGAAGAGACATAGTTTCCTTCAATGAACATGTGGAATTAAATGATGCTTAGGTCATTCCATACACTAGAATGCAATGGCCTTCCTCATTTTCTTAGGTTCGTTGGTGGCTTTTTCTTATGCGGAGAGGTTCGGCAGTGACAGTAGCTACCCAACCACCTCTTTGTATATCCAACCACCAGTTACGAGTTGCACATAACAAAAAGGTAGCCATTCCTTCTTGCCGGATTGCTATTTTTAGTTCATGTATGAATTATGATTCAGAAGTAGTTTTATTGGGACTCCGACTCGAGCATCAGCGGTTGGTCTTATGATCACGGCAATCCGTTTTTAGATTGTTAGGTTATAGATTCAAACTTCACTATCCTATCTCCTGTAAAAGTTTAAAAGAGTGAGCAAAAAAAATTATTATTGAGACCAAAAAAATTGATCTAATAATATGTTNTGATGAAAAATTTAAATCAATTGTAACTTTATTTTTAAAAGATATAAATTAATTATTAATAATTTCTTGAGGAATAAAAAATAATATTGAATGTTGAGTTAGAGAAGAGACATAGTTTCCTTCAATGAACATGTGGAATTAAATGATGCTTAGGTCATTCCATACACTAGAATGCAATGGCCTTCCTCATTTTCTTAGGTTCGTTGGTGGCTTTTTCTTATGCGGAGAGGTTCGGCAGTGACAGTAGCTACCCAACCACCTCTTTGTATATCCAACCACCAGTTACGAGTTGCACATAACAAAAAGGTAGCCATTCCTTCTTGCCGGATTGCTATTTTTAGTTCATGTATGAATTATGATTCAGAAGTAGTTTTATTGGGACTCCGACTCGAGCATCAGCGGTTGGTCTTATGATCACTGCAATCCGTTTTTAGATTGTTTGGTTATAGATTCAAACTTCACTATCCTATCTCCGGTAAGAGTGAGCAAAAAAAATTATTATTGAGACCAAAAAAATTGATCTAATAATATGTTAAGTGATAAAATACTAATGATAAATGCCATGCATTTTTTACAATAATTTTTACATGAAATAAAGTGGGTGTGAAGTTTAAGAAACTAGAAAGTAATACTAAGGGCTTTTTGTTGTGGGATTAAAAGCATATTAAAAAGGAGAACAAATGCACAATGCTCTCAAATACAAAATTATGAAAATGATTAGATTTACATAGTAATACATTAGAGAATAGGCATGTTATTTAGACACGACCATTGAACCCTAAAAATCGACATAAAGTCAGCAGGTTTAAATTGAATTTTAACGAGTTAAGGTGATAAACAAATGGACATATTAGATTCGTCAAAAATGAATCGATACACAGCCAGTTGAACATAACACAAACTTGTTAAACATGAGTTACATANCAGCGGTTGGTCTTATGATCACTGCAATCCGTTTTTAGATTGTTTGGTTATAGATTCAAACTTCACTATCCTATCTCCGGTAAGAGTGAGCAAAAAAAATTATTATTGAGACCAAAAAAATTGATCTAATAATATGTTAAGTGATAAAATACTAATGATAAATGCCATGCATTTTTTACAATAATTTTTACATGAAATAAAGTGGGTGTGAAGTTTAAGAAACTAGAAAGTAATACTAAGGGCTTTTTGTTGTGGGATTAAAAGAATATTAAAAAGGAGAACAAATGCACAATGCTCTCAAATACAAAATTATGAAAATGATTAGATTTACATAGTAATACATTAGAGAATAGGCATGTTATTTAGACACGACCATTGAACCCTAAAAATCGACATAAAGTCAGCAGGTTTAAATTGAATTTTAACGAGTTAAGGTGATAAACAAATGGACATATTAGATTCGTCAAAAAATGGATCGACACACAGCCAGTTGAACATAACACAAGCTTGTTCAACATGAGTTACATACGATATAAATCCGATTATATACGAATATAAGTGGATTAAACAAATGTTAAAGAAATTTTAGCATCACATAGTTAGACATAACACGAATTTGATGTAATATGACCCATTCACATCTCTACGAAAGAGATTGTTTATATGACTCGAATCTGATGGTAATCTTATTTCACAATAAATTAACCTTGTTGATGTGTTTAAACCCCATATTTGTAGGCGGCATATGTATGCAACGTCGCAGACTTNCATATTAAAAAGGAGAACAAATGCACAATGCTCTCAAATACAAAATTATGAAAATGATTAGATTTACATAGTCATACATTAGAGAATAGGCATGTTATTTAGACACGACCATTGAACCCTAAAAATCGACATAAAGTCAGCAGGTTTAAATTGAATTTTAACGAGTTAAGGTGATAAACAAATGGACATATTAGATTCGTCAAAAAATGGATCGACACACAGCCAGTTGAACATAACACAAGCTTGTTCAACATGAGTTACATACGATATAAATCCGATTATATACGAATATAAGTGGATTAAACAAATNTGAATCGATACACAGCCAGTTGAACATAACACAAACTTGTTAAACATGAGTTACATACGATATAAATCCGATTATATACGAATATAAATGGATTAAACAAATGTTAAAGAAATTTTAGCATCACAAGATTAGACATAACACGAATTTGATGTAATATGACCCATTAACATCTCTACGAAAGAGATTGTTTATATGACTCGAATCTGATGGTAATCTTATTTCACAATAAATTAACCTTGTTGATGTGTTTAAACCCCATATTTGTAGGCGGCATATGTATGCAACGTCGCAGACTTATTTTAACACACTGTACTGTTGATTGTATGGCATTTACCCTTTTACACACCAAGCAATCTTATAGGAAGAGATCACATTTCCTCAACGGTCCATAAATATGGACTCCTAGTAGCATTTACCATAAATATATGTCCTGAAAGTGGTTTCAATTTGATCAGTGTGTCAACCTCCCAACCAACTGAGAAGTCGTACCTAATCGGAACTCATCATGAAGACTCTCATTTACAACTTGCATTAATGCACCTTGACATGGTAAATTGGTCTGCTCAGTTCCAAGTTGCCCTATATATGCACATATCAAACCCCTACAAAACTGATCGTACATACCACCTTTCCTTCACATCTCTGTATCTCTCTCTCTCCAAAGGATGGAGCACCTTTCCAAGCTCAACAATAACCCCATGCCCAAAAGCACCATGACACTTTCCCATACTCTCCTATCAAAGCACATTCAATCAATCCTCTTGGAGTTCCTGAAATTTTCAACTATTTTAATTTTCTTCTCCATAGAAGCACTCTTTATCATCCAAAAATGGATGAGCATATGTCATCTATTCTCTCTCTCTTGCTTACTACTCTTTTTCATCCTCAAACACTACCTCTCAAAGCGTTCATCAGTTTACCTTGTAGACTTTTCGTGTCTGAAACCTCCAGGTTTCTGCAGAGTACCCTTCTCACTCTTCATTGAACATGTTCAAATGATTGATTTCTTAGACGAAAAAAGCATAGCTTTCATGGCCAAAGTCCTCTCTTCTTCAGGACAAGGTGAAGAAACATATCTCCCTCCAGCTGTACACTATATCCCACCAAGATCAGACCACCAAGAAGCCATGAAAGAAGTCCACATGGTTCTCTTCCCTATCTTTGATGATCTCTTGTCAAAAACCAATCTCTCTCCTCACAATATCGACATACTCATCGTCAACTGCAGTGGCTTTTGCCCTTCTCCTTCTCTCTCCTCCATTATTATCAATAAATACTCCATGAGAGAAGATGTAAAGAGCTTCAATATCAGTGGCATGGGGTGCAGTGCAAGTGCACTAGCCATTGATATGGCCCAAAATATTCTCAAAACACACAAGAACAGTTATGCTCTTATTCTTAGCACAGAGATTTTATCTACTGGTTGGTATTCTGGAAAAGAACGACCCATGATGGTACTTAACTGTCTGTTCCGAATGGGTTCTGCGGCAATTTTGATCACAAACAAAAAAGAAGCAAGAAAATCATCAAAATATAAGTTGATAAAAACCCTACGAACCCAAAGAGCTTTTGATGACAAGGGTTACAATTCAGCAATGCGAGAAGAGGATTCAACTGGATTGACAGGTGTTACTCTCCGGAGAGACTTGTTGCAGGTCGCCGGAGAAACTCTCCGGTTGCACATCGGCATTCTGGGTTCATCAATATTACCATTTACAGAGAAAATCTGGTATGCTGTTTCGTGTATTCGGAAAAGATTCATCGACAAATCCACAGAGATTTACATTCCAAATTTCAGGTAGATATTTCAATCAAGTTGGTAATGATTACACCAATTGATTTTAAGTACCGTCAATTTTTTTTTAAATCGAGCCAGCTTCTTTGTATTTGGTCTTATACTCTCATCTGGGTATTGGTCGATCGCTTTTTTTATTTATCCATGGGCTTTATAAGTATTTCTTTCTTTTTTGCACCCCAACAGGTCAGTGTNCCAGCTTCTTTGTATTTGGTCTTATACTCTCATCTGGGTATTGTTCGATCGCTTTTTTTCTTTATCCATGGGCTTTATAAGTATTTCTTTCTTTTTTGCACCCCAACAGGTCAGTGTTACAGCATTTTTGCTTGCCAACTTCAGGGAGGCCAGTGATAAGGGAGATAGGAAAAGGGTTGAATCTTGAAGAGAGAGAAATGGAGCCAGCTCTGATGACACTACACAGGTTTGGGAACCAGTCTTCGTCGTCATTGTGGTATGAGTTAGCATACATGGAGGCCAAGGAGAAAGTGAAGAAAGGTGATAAGGTGTGGCAGCTTGGGATGGGGAGTGGGCCAAAGTGTAACAGTTTGGTTTGGGAGTGTGTTAGGTCAATGAAGGGGGAACGGAAGAGAGGTCCATGGTCTGATAGCATTGATAGGTACCCAATCTTGGATGTTGACCAGAGTCCATAGCATTGATGTTGAAGGTTCTTTCTTGTTCTGATGATCACATGCATGTAATTATCAATAAATCACGTGTATCAGTTAAGTCTGGAGACAACAACGAAAGTTAAACTCCTCCTTTACGATGTTTAGATCTTTGTTTCATTCAAGTCCTATCTCACATTGTTGAGCTACTCGTGTGTAAGATTGTCAACAAATCAGGTTTGAATCAAATTTTAACCGATCCAAATTAAAGTTTGATTTCAAAATTTAATCGCATAATTTGGCAAATTTTATTTTTGTGGTTAATATCCGAACCCAGTAATAATTCAAAAATTCAACTTGATTCGAATAACTTAATTAAGTAATTAACTAATTTTTAATAAATTATACCTTAATATCAATTAAATTTTTTTAATATTTATATAAAATTCTATAAATAATTCAAATCGAATATAAATATATATAAATTCGAATCCGTGAAATATATGACTAATCGAATGCGAATTAGAAATTAATCCATCGATAGGCCTACACTTTTGGGTTGGTTACCAAGTTTTTGCGATTGAAGTCTTTTTTTCATATCAACTTGATAAGAGAAGATAAATGTTATTAAAATTTAATTTAGAGTCATAATTTTAAAGTTTAATGTATTATAAATATTGAATTATAGGTAGATATGTACCAGCAAAAGAAGTCCACTAGCACAAATATAACTTGACTTTTCAACTGCACTACACTAATATTTATTGGTAGTGTACCATTATTGCCTAGGCCTATGTCTACCCTACTGAGCAATTATTTTTTAATATTATTTTTTTATTTAATGAAAAATAAAATACTTTACATTTCTTTATTATTTTTTTTTATTTATATGATCAACGAGTACTATAAATAAAGTACACCAAAATCCATGAGAAAAGAATAATAGAAAATGCTCTCTCGACTTAATTTAAATTAATTGTGACCGTTGGATTGAAAGTGAGTTTCACGCAATCTTAAAATTCATAATTATTTTAATGATTATAATTAATCAAAATTTCAAATTCAGTATTTATAACATTGTTAAAAAAAATAAAAAATTGGATGTACTGTATGGGCTCGAATGACTTTTCAAACCCATCGAATACCAGGGCCCACAAAACTTAATTGGTTATTTCGATTTTGCTACATTTTTTAGCCTAAAGACTTGATCCTTAGTTTATGCTCTTCGAGGCATTCTCAATATTCAAATAGGGCTCGGACAATGAATGTGTGGCAAGTGGACTCCCCCCATTAGTAGGTGGTCTACGAGTCAAGGGTCGGCTTAAAAGCTCGAACGATAGAATATGGGCAGTTTTATTTTCTTAGGGTATGTTTGGTTAACAAAAAAATGACGATAAAAAGTGAAATAAAATATATTTTCATGTATTTGATTAGTATGAAAATTTTTTAAAAAAATGTTAAAATAATTTCATTCCATTATTTGAAAGAAAAAAAAGTTAGAAGAATTTTTTTCTAATTGTTTAAATTATTTTTAATTATTTTAACTCGGTTTAAAAAATAAAAAAATATATTTTTATTATTCAAATTTTAAAAAAGTTGGCTCCTAACCTAATTCAAGAACAAGAATCGGTTTAAACCCTGATTTTTAGACCAAATTATATGGTTAGCCTAATTTGTACAAAGTTTTTTAAAATTAATAACTAATTAGATATTTTAAGAAAAATAAGAGTAAAATGAGAAGTTAAGTTATTGAACACAACTTTCTTATTTTTTCTTATATTTTTTAGCATTATCTTGCAAACAAACCGACCTCTAGGTTTGGGTTATGGCCACTAGCTAGTCTAAAAAATGTTACTAAATTCAAATAAATTTAAAAAATTGTGACTCAAATGTATATCATCCCTTAGATGTGTGGATTCCATCAACTTTGAAACCCACTCATCTAAGAGATTATATGTATTTAAGTTACAATTTTTTAAGTTTTATTTAAATTATGTAACATTACTTAGATAGTCTTGTGGCTCGATAAATTTGAATTTTTTAGGGAAAATCTCATTTTATATTCTTAAAGATTTAATTTTTTTCACTTTTTACTCTTAAAAATTAATTTCTTTACATTGTACCCTCAATGCATTAAAATTCTTACAATGCAACATTTTCGTTGCTTCTTTTGTCAAAAATCACATTATTAAAATTGACGGAATGAGTATCATTCTTAAATTTGATCAAAAATCACCTTATTAATGTAAAAAATATGATCTTTGAGCAAACAAAATAAAAATTTTTAAATTTTTTAAAGTGCAAAGTACAATTCACTTTTTTTTAATCAAGCTACCAAAAATATAAAAATTCTAAAGATAGACTCATTAAGACAAGTCAAATAAACTTATGGACATGCCATATAATGTAGTTTTCATGGATGTGGCTCGTCTGTTGTTTTAGAGGCACTACCTGTCACTCAAAGCTGCTTAATCTTATATAAATTATACCCTCCAAGTTAAATATTTCATATTTATGAGCTAAAAAAAATTTCAGTAAATAGTTTTAAATTGTATCGTATCATAACACCTTCGTGTCGTATCCGAGTCAATAAAAAATATTTTTCAAAATTTTTAAAAGATTATAAAATACCTATTTTTTTTTACTTAAAATACTCGTTAAATAATTATTTTTTTATCTACAGTTAGACTCAAATCTTTTGATTGTCCAATCAAATTAAAGTTATATATGAATAACACAGATGTAAATAAAAAATTGATATTTTTAAATTTTTAAAAATATTAAATAGTATTATAAGAATTATTGTAAATATGAAATATAAAACACAATGTAATTGACTCAACATGAAAATAATTTTTATTAAAAATATTTTTTTATTGACTCAAACACGGCACGGAAATGTTTTGATAAGATACAATTGAGAGCCATTTAATGAGTATTAACGGATGAAATTTTTTTTGGATCATAAATGTCAAATATTTAAATTTTGGAGGGTGTAATTTATAATTAATCCAAACTTTTTTAACGGCAAAATAGATAATAGTTAATCTCAGGTGCACATTGATACATATTTATATCTTTCAGGGAGTAAATTAATATTTTTTAATTATATTAGTATCTAGTTTATCAATAAGTTATTTCATTAGATTGAAATTATTTTATGGAGCTACCTATAAAGGACTATAAATAGGGGTATAAATTATTTAGGGGCGAATGCATTTTCAAAGTGATGCTCAATGTCGCTGGTGGTGCTCAATAAAGCTGATACATGTGTATAATGGTTCTTGAGCATGAAGGAAGGGGGCCATGGCCTAGTAGGCCTCACCAAAAAACCCAAAACTCAATGGGCCGCCCATGGCCAGGAAATCCAACGAGCTAACGGGTAGCTCGGCCCGTTCACATGATAAGGCTTGGGCAACCTGTTGGTCAGCCTGATAGGGTCTGGGCCGTGTTTTTTAGGGCCGTGGGCTAGGCGGGCCGGCCTGTTAAGGAGCACAATAACCTGCCCATTAACACAATAAGATAATTAGATTGTATTTTATAATTGTATTATTTATTTGATATTTGTTCTCTGACTTTTATAGGTTGAGACTTGTAAATGATTGACAATTGTGTAAGTGTCAATTTAATTAGGATGTATTCAATTTGTAGTGATACAAAATAGTTTCACTCACCAATCAATTTATAATGTAATATTGTAACTCTATATAAATATTTGTTAAATTCAATCAATATGAATAATTTTTTTGTTAAATTATTTTTTCATACCAACTTCGTGTAATTAATATCTTTTTGTATTTTTTATATAAAAAATAAAATTTTCAATGTCTTTATTGTATTTTTTTATATAAAAAATAAATTTTTAATAAAAAAATCCATTTTTAGGTCCAATGAGGCCCGACCCGTATTTAGACCGTTTACGCCCCAATAAGCTAGCCGACGAACGGGCCATGGCCATAAAAAATTTGAATAAATTGGAAGGAGATACACTCAATTAGACTTAATTGTAAAAAAATATATAGAAAAAAATATTAGGTAATTAAGTGCTTAATTTTGATACTTTTTGTATTTAAGTACATTATTTGAATTTTACTGATTTTTTTGTAATATTTTTGCCCTCCATTAATCCATGTGTATTTAATGCACCACTTTTATTTGGAAAGTGGTGCATTAACATCTCCTAGTTTTATCAGAGAACTTTAATACATATACATATATATATATATATATATATATATATATATATATATATATACTTATTTAAATTTCAAAATTTGTATTCATGTATATATAAAAACATATATGTATATAAATTATATTTTAATGCACATTGATTCATGCGTTATATATATATATATATATATATATATATACACACACTTACCGTTAAATATCTTTTAATGCAACATGATACATGCATTTTTTTTTTTTGAAAATGGTTTTATTTTCAAATTAATTTAATATCCGAATAGTGTAATAGTGTAACAATAACAGTGTAAAAATAAAAGTGTAACAATAACAGTGTAACAAGTTATTTACACAAAAAATTGTATTATTACATTTTATCAAACATATAGTTTCATATAATTTCATTCAAAATAGTACATTTTCGTTTTGAATTTGTTATCACATAAACAAAACTACTGAACACTGTTTTTGTTACAGTATATTTGCTACATTATTTTTGTTACAGTATATTTGTTACATTGTTATTGTTACACTATTACGTTATTCGGATATTAAATTAATTTAAAAATAAAATTATTTTCCAAAAAAAAAAAAAACGTTTGAATCAATGTGTATTAAATATAATTTGAAAATAAAATCACTTTCCAAAAAAAAAAATTACTCATAAATTAAAGTGTATTAAAGATAATTCAAAATTTAGATAAGAGATTTAACAACAAGTGTATATATAAGTATTTATATATATGTATTAAAGTTCTTTCATAAAACTAGGAGATGTTGTTTAATGCACCACTTTTCAAAGAAAAGTGGTGCATTAAATACACATGGATTAATGGAGGGCAAAAATGTCACAAAACAATCAGTAAAATTCAAATAATGTATTTAGATACAAATAAGTATCAAAATTAATGACTTAATTACCCAACATTTTTTTCTATATACTTTGTTAGAATTAAGTCTAATTGGGTGTACCTCCTTTCAATTTTCCCTTTTTCAGCACATAATTTGTCTGTGGGCTAATATTTTGGACTTTGACTAGTTAATGGGCCTAGCTGGGCCGCCAATTAAAATTTTGTGGATTCTTTGGAAGTCGGTACATCTAATTAGATTATTTGACAAAAAGTACATAGAATAAAATATTTTGAAAAAAAGTATACAACTAAGTTACAAAGACATAAATGCCTATTTTAGGGTTAGTTAATTCAAAATCTTTTATCTTTAATACATCTTGATTCATGTGTGTTTGTTAATACATATAAATACGTATATAAATTCTTATGTATGTATGTATATATTTGTTGTTAAATCTCTTATCTAAATTTTGAATTATCTTTTAATGCACCTTGATTCATGATTTTTTTTTTTTTTTGAAAAGTGATTTTATTTTTAAATTAATTTAATATCCGAATAGTGTAATAGTGTAACAATAAAAGTGTAACAGGATGACAATAACAGTGTAACAAGCTATTTACACAAAATATTGTACTATTACATTTTATCAAACATATAGTTTCATATAATTTCATTCAAATAGTTCATCTACGTTTTGAATTTGTTACCACATACGCAAAACTACTGAATGCTGTTTTTGTTACAGTGTATTTGTTATATTGTTTTTGTTACAATGTATTTGTTACACGATTACATTATTTAGACATTAAATTAATATAAAAATAAAATTATTTTCCCAAAAAGAAAAAAAAACTTGAATCAAGGTACATTAAATATGATTTGAAAACAAAATCACTTTTTTAAAAGAAATATGCATGAATTAAGGTGCATTAAAGATAATTCAAAATTTAGATAAGAGATTTAACAATAAGTATATATATATTAACATATATACATATAAATCAAAGTGTATTAAATACGTATTAACAAACACACATGAATTAATGTATATTAAAAATAAGAGATTTTAAATTAAATGACCCTAAAATGGACATTTATGTCTTTGTAACTCAAATGTGTATTTTTTTAAAAAAATATTTTGTTCTATGTATTTTTTGTCAAATAAGTTTAATTAGATGTATTGATTTTCGAAAAATCCGCTGAAAAATTATGTACTGGGCCGACCCGGCCCAGCCCCTTGCTGAGTCCAGGCGTCCCATACTAGTTCTGTATCTAGTGGGGACGATGGCAATTTGACCCATCGCCAACCTTTTTTATTATTCTTTTTTTAGCCAAATCAATCGCTAACCGCAACGAATGAAAAAGGCAAATGGATCGCATTACGCAACCCATGGGACTATCTTTGTTACTTCTTACTAATTAAACGTTTATTTTATCATCATCAAGCGGCTGATTTTAATTCAATAAATTCTACTTTTGACTAAACCAAAAAGTCTGTCGTCATATCTTCTTTGGCGTCATCCCACATTAGACCTGCACGTGTCAAGCCCACCGCTTTTAATTCAGAATGCCGGATGAGGGAAAAAAAATGGCACCAAACTATTATTTCAAGTTCTGTAGTTGTTTCTTACAAAGTTTGTGGGTCGTTGGCAATTTGTATAAACTATTTGGGATCGATATCAAAATTTATATGATAAATAAAAACTAAAATTGATAATTAAACTAAACTGTTTGAGATAAGTTTGAATTCGACTCGATTCTACTCGTCTTTTAAACTCATTTGGACTTATTAGATTAGCGGCCTTAATACTAAGTAACCCACAAAAATTATGAATAATTCAGAGAAATTATAATTTAAAATATAAAAAATTATAATATAATGTCAAAAATTATAAATTTTAGGGTTACGGTATTAAATTTTGTTTTGAATAACGTAGTTTTCTAAAAAAGCTAATCTCAGATGTCACCCACTTTTAAACCCCGTCATCTGTCCGAAATTTCTGTCCACCACAGTGTCCTGTGACTAGTATTTGACAAGGATATATTGATTTAGCTTTCCCTACTTGACAACTTTTCCTACGTGTCAACGTTGGACCATCAACGTTAGCTAAGCCGCGCTGGTTCTTTCACAGACTGCCAGGTGGTTACAACCTCTTAATTTCAAAGGAGAGAGAGAGAGAATTATTCAGAGGAGAAAATATTAGTCACGTCAGGTCATTAATATCATCTGATATTATAGATTAATTATAAAATAATTAATATAATTTTATTATTTTAACATAATAATTATTAAATAAAATAATTAATACAGTAAACCCTACTAAATTTACTTAATAGCTCGCAAAATTGATAACGTGGTGTCAGATACATCCGATATTTTCTCCGGTCAGAGAGACCTTTCGGTGTGAGAATTACTTGGTGTGGGTCCATCCTGCCTATTCAAGAAGTAACTGCGGTGTACTCGTGGAAGTCTGTCATTGGTCCATTTGTCGACCTTTTAAGACCTGGCCCACGGTGTTAGTCAGCCCGAGTGAAACGTGGAGTGCTCGAAACCCACGCCATTTTCTCATTTCGCGATACGATAAATTGACCAGACGGAGAAAGCTAGCGAAGACGTTTACGGCAGGAGAATCGTCAATACTGCCAGGTGTCGAAAAACTAGTTCATAGTGGTCGGTGAGGGGCAGTAAGGTCACTAAGGGTAGCTGCCCGAAGAGTTGGCTGCGTTGGCTTCTTCCACGAGAAATACAGCAAACCTCACCACGTTGCCGCTATGTCTCAGTGCAAACCTCAGCTTTCTCTCTCTCTCTCTCACACTCAGTCATTCACTAACTACAAAAGCAGTATATATACAATGCATACCTAGCAAGCTAGAAAAGATTTATGGAGGAGACGGTGTAGTTTTGTGGTTTAGTTCGCTTGTTCAAAGTATATATATGTGATTGTCAATAACGGAGGCTTACGGTTACGAACATATGATGAGGAACGACGAAGATGATCCGGAGAAATGCCGAGAGCGACGACGGAGGAGGATAAAGATGAGGAGATGTTTGGTTGTTTCCGCTGCCGGTTCGCCCCCAGAGAAGGCGTCAATCAACCTGATAGAGGATCGTACAGAGAGCTCGAATTTTGTCGAGGAAGGAAAGCTAGTTGGATCGGAGAAGGCGAGCGATCATTCTTTGACGTCGTCTTCGTCCGGCGAAGACGTGGACGCTTCCTACGCGGCTGCGACGAACTGTATCAGTGTTAGTGAAGTTGTGCCGGTGTTTGGATCGATGTCGCTTTCCGGAAGGCAACGTGATATGGAAGATGCGATATGTGTACGGACGAACCTTTGCCGGCCGGAGGTTAACCGGCGGCGACCTGTGCATTTCTTCGGTGTTTACGATGGGCATGGAGGACCTCACGTATACCTCACAATTTCTCTTATTCGTCGTACTGTCAAAACTTTTAAAATTAAATCCTTGTGAAAAGGCCAATATAACCTTTATTAGCATGAACACATCCTTGTGGATTGGGGGTACTTATGTCATTTTAAAAAATATGGTTGTTAAAATGTTTTAATATTTGGTAAGCAATGTGTACAATGATTAAAATTCATGTTCAGGTCGCTGCAATGTGTAGAGATAAGATGCACGTGTTAATGGAGGAGGAGTTGATGCGTGTGGAATACACGCCGGTGAATGAGAGTGGTGGTTCTGGGCCGCAAGTCCTCGAAGATGACTGTTGGAGGAGGGCGATGAGGCGGTGCTTTGAGAGAATGGACGAGGTGGCGATGACTACCTGTGTTTGTGGAAGCATGGGGAATCAATGTGGGTGCCACACCTGGGATATGGCGCTTACGGGGTCCACCGCCTTGGTGGCAGTCGTTACAGCGGAGCAAATTGTTGTTGCCAATTGCGGTGACTCACGCGCCGTCCTCTCTCGTGCCGGGAGGCCCATTCCTCTTTCTTTTGATCAGAAGGTAAGTTTATGCAACGTACTCGCGTTTGGAGGCGGACACGTGTTGTACAATTTTGTCATTTGATCGGTTACAGCGTACCATCTAGTAGATTTATAATGATCTTAATTGATTTTTATGGCAGCCTGATAGAGCAGACGAGGAAGCAAGGATTAAAGCTTCTGGAGGACATGTAATTTTTTTTGATGGAGCTCGAGTTGAAGGAATTCTCGCTATGTCCCGAGCAATAGGTAACTTTTCAAGATCTGAATTATAGTAATACCGTTCCCTATAATACATTTTCTCGTCAATTTCTCTTTGACAGATCACCGTTCTAACATTCAAGTTAGACACATTATACTTATATACAAGTGAGTCTCTCACGTATTATTGATCAATGATCCATCATTAAAAACAAATTGACGAACAAATGAATGTATCGGGGGTATCTTTCTTTCTTTTTTTTTTTTTTTTTTTCTGAAGACGATCATCAATGTGGATTATTACACCAACTAATGTGTATCTTGAAGAAAATGTTTTGGCTTACACTTGGATTGAATATAAGTGTGTAGGTGTGTTTTTAAGCCAAATGTACAGGTTTTTGCCACTGTGGATTTTTGTGTGTGACTATTCTCCTTTCTTTTTCTAGGACAATCATTAGTTTATGTTTTAGAAATATTACTTTTCTCAATGCTTTATATAGTTTTAGAAATAATCAATGGGAAAAGAACATGAATAATTTTTGGACATGAAGTTGATTAGGTTAGGGACAAAAAGTGAATGATACCAAATGAAAATCTTCAGATATTATTTTTGTTTTTTGCTCTCATTTATTAAAAAATAAAAAATAAAAAAATCTTTAGCTAGACTTTTAATTTTTATGCAGGACCAGCTGGCATCAGCCAGACTTTTAATTTTTATGGCGCTAAGTGTTGGAATAATGCATGACAACATTAAACATCTATGATGGAAGATTTGAGGGTAGAAGGTTGTTAAAATAGGTTACATATTAACAGTTTAGGTGTTTGCATTGGGGGCCAATGAATGGTGAGAAAAGACATCCATTGGCGTGAAAGGTGCCAATAAATGAAGACATCTTAGTTGTCGACAAAAAGGAAAGGATCTCTACAGATTAGGAATGGCAATGCATTGCACCATGCTTTTTGTCCAAGTAGGATTAGTAATTTTTTTTTTGTTATTCAAGCTAGGCATAAGTTATCATTCAGGATGACAAAGTGGTACATGTGAATTTGTAAGCTTGTATAAAAGAGACAATGAAGTAATAGTGGCATGCCATATGTCCAAGTCGGACTAGCAGTTTCTGTTCCGTTATTCAAGCTTGGCATAACTTGTCATTCAGGATGACAAAGTAAATGTGAATTTGTGAGCTTATATAAAAGAGATAGTGAAATACGAGTTTGTCGTTTTGAATTCTCCTTTTGATGATACCACGAGAAAATCAACGTCATTTAGGTAAGTTGATAAGAGAATGATTAAGGTTTGAAGTTTGACGTGTCAGGATGAAAACCTCAATTGAGTTGGCATTTGTGCTTAAAGAGGTTACATTATGGAAAAGGCTGATTTTAACAGATATTGTCATGCCATTTTCTTGTGTGTTTATTGATTTCTTGTACTAATAATGGCAGTGTAGCTCTGGCCATGGCTATGCTTTTAAGGAGGAATGCCTATTAAAGAAACGGTATCCAAACTACTATATGGGATTCCATCATGAAGCATCCTCATTTGAATTAATATTTGGCTTTTATTTCTGAAAATGATCAGAGAAACAAATAAAAGAATTTGATGTCATCATTTCGGAATATTTTTGCTTTGCCCTCATGAAGATAAGATTGCAAGGTGAAATCTTCCCTCTTGAGTCTCCATTTCAAAGGATGGTGATCATTTAATTTTTGTTTTGTATGGCAAACTGGGCAGCTTTTAGAAAGACAAAGTCCCTTTGTCCTTTTAACAATAAAGAGGGAAGGAAAACACAGAGATGGACTTGGTTTGTGTTATCTGTGGTTCCTTGATATCTTCCTAGTGTTGAATGCCACATCCATATTATCTTAAGTCATTCTTCTCAATTTTAATCACAGTAATCTTAGCCTCAAACATTTATTGTTCTTTAACATTGTCTTACACGTTTGAACCACAAATATTGCATTATATGAAACTGAATTACCTCAGGTAGACAATAATTAATGGTTGTGCTCAAACTACATTAATGAGCCAATACCACTTTAAAGTTTTGCTTGTTTTTGATAAGAGATTCACAAGCTACTACCATATTTTTAACTAAGAGCAGTGGTAGGTAATGTTCAGACAATGACTACCAAAGTAATTCTGCACCAGTCAGGTAATTTTGCGTCAGTGAGTTTTAGGTTCTGGTTGTAGTGGTAGGTGATGGTGTCCGTGGCAAGAGCATTGCTTCTATTCGGCCAAGACTATTGTCAGTAATTTTGTTTCTGTTAAAGAAAAATGACATCTTGTGTTCTACTTGTAGAATAGTTCATACATTTTTTGAAGTTTGAAATCTGGGGCTTTAAGGCCTGGATTATGAATTTTTTGATATGAAGCTTAGACCAGCAGGAATAACACCTACAAGTAAGTTCTGTCTCTTCCTTATAACTTCTTATTCTCATGCATGAGGGAAAAATGGGTAAAGAACTGCAGGAAATTAATGCAATTGCCTTGCATGAAAGTATATTGTACAAAGCTTTACCCTTCCCCCTAATTGAAATATCTGTATGGTGCATGCATACTGAAATAAACAATCCCTAGACTGTAGTATGCTTAAAATTGTACCGAGCCAGTGCATCATGCCTGTGATTATTCATAAGCTGATGCCACCATTTGTAAGATAATACAATTTTATTAATTGTTACATATTACGGACGGTAGACACCTCAGTGAGCTGTTAAGTATTGTTTTGTACTGTTAAAAGTGTATATATTGATTAGGGTTACAATTGCAGTCAATCATGGTTGACAAAGAGGCATGGGTCTTTTAGCAGTTGGATTTAGTCATCACTCAAGTGTACCATTAAATTCATGCAATATGTTCACAGATTTAGCAACAAGTACAAAACTTAGATTTGTAGCCTTATTCAGGGTGCTATATTCTATATTCTAGTTGAAATTTTTTTTTTTTAGGTAGCTTGACCATAGGATGTATCTCCAACCATTGTCTTTTACAAAATCAATGCAAAAGACCATGTAATGTTCAAGATTGATTGTGCTTTTTATTATACCTAATGTCCGACAATCCAGATAACAGATATAGCAGAGATCATGTTCTCCCCTCTTTGTAAGTATGTATGTATTCAAAGCCGATAAATGTTATCAGAAAATGACTTTCTAATATTTTATTCTCCATACATACCAATTTGAACATTCTGAATTTTTAATGGTTGAAATTTTTCCATAAATTCTGTTAACCGAGTTCAAAAAATTTGATTTTGCAATCTTACGGCCCCATTTTTAGTCTTTCAGAAGTCCATTTAAGTAGTAGTTTATTTTCTCTCAGCATCAATGGCTCTTTTCCCCCAAAGCCAGACAACAGAGTAGAATTTCATGCTTTGGGAACTCTTTATGTACAAGTCCTAGGCGACTGAAATTGCTATCAAGCTGGAAATTGAAACCAAATTACCTTTAATTGAACGTATCATATATGTGATCACATCACATGTGGTGACTTCCACTATTAGCTAATCACTGGTTGATCTAATTTGCAAGAAGTGATTAAAAACTTATGTGATGTTCAGTGTATTGCAACTATAATATTATGAAGCTACTATTGAAATTATATTTCTTTTATTGCTTATACTTACTAGAAGGAGGAGAGATCCTTAATTACTGATATCGAGAAAGCAAGGACGCCATGAGTGCTCGCTAGTGTCAGCCCTTTGATTGTTTACTTTGCTAATGTCAGCCCTTCTCATTTATTTGGCTTCTTGAAACAGGAGACCGGTATCTAAAACCAATTGTGACAGCAGAGCCTGAGATTACCTTCACAAAAAGGGTCCCAGAAGACGACTGCTTGATTCTGGCAAGCGATGGCATGTGGGATGTTCTAAGCAGTGAACTGGCTTGCGACATTGCTAGTGAGTGTCTTCAAGAAGGAAGTTCTGATGCTGCCTCCTCCACAGAATCAGGGGCCGGAGACTTGTACCCATCACGAAGTCAATCAGCCGCAGCATTGCTGACGCGTCTTGCTTTGGGACGGAAAACTTTTGACAACGTTAGTGTCATTGTTGTCGACTTGAAAGAGGAGTTAAAGGCAATGATAGTTTGAAGAATGTCGTCTCTGTTGATAACAACTATCTTTTACAGGTTTTTATGAGAAGACAAGAAGATGCACACATAGGTTTCATCGGGACTTTCTGGGTTGAATAGAAACTCCGGCGATTTCTTTTGAATGATTAAATTTCTTGGCGCCGGAAATGTGATGTCATGCACAACCTGACTTAGCTGTTTTACCAAACTACAGGGCATCAGTTCTTACCTATATATGCATCCATTTTCTAATCAGTGTAAATGTTAGGATTTTTTTTTGGTCAGACGCTATTACAGAGACTGGATGACAAGGTTTCAACTTGTGATCTTAAGGTCCAACAACGAGAATGATGACTATTAGATCAATCGCCTATAAAAAGCGGATATTTTGTCAAAGTTGACGTACTCGTATTGGACACAGTATCAGATACGATATTCGTCGAATACTCAATGATGCGTATCAGATATGTATCATCTGTATATGATAATTAATAAAATATGTGGATATTTTGCAGATACTTTTAAGCATGAAGTAAAATGTACAATTTTTAATTTTAAGCTATACCCCTTCTCTGGAGTTCACATACAATATAAAACATCAACAAAATTCTATTTGATTTTGAAGATACGAGTGTTTTTTAAGTATTATCTATTATTAAATATTAAGAGAGTATAAAAAAAATGAGTCACTTATACTATACTCTTAAAAATAAATATTTGTAAAATAAACTAGTTAAATGTCGTTATGATTCCTTCAATTGGTCATGCTCATTTTATGAGCATATCATAATAAGACGATATTACATCTTTTTCATGGTAAAAATTCATAATTTTACTTGCTATAATGTTAAGAAATTATTGAAAAATTATGATTTTTAAGTATTTAAATAATAGTAAAATATAAAATATATTTTTATTATAGACGTATTCTGGTTGTATTCGTATCTTATTTTTTTAAGTTTTATCGTATCGCCATATCCATATTATATCGTATCTGTGTTACGTATTCGTATTCGTGCTTCCTAGTCCATTGCTAATCTCAACGTAAAAGCTGGGATGAAGCCATTTGAGATCCTGGTGTTACAATCTTTTGTTTTAAGTTGCTATTATTCTAACAATTTTAGGGTTAGGGAAAATAGGGTGGAAAAAAATATTTTCCATCATTTGGCTTGGTACCAGGGGAAGACATAGGAATGTATAGAAAACTTGGGAAAAAGTTTATTACTGACAAATTTTTCTTCCAAATTTGGGCAAAAAAAAAAAGGGATGGAAAAATAAACATGAAATAAATAGCTATTATATTCGTGTGATGAATTTATGTTAGCTAATCAAAAAAGATTGAAATCTCACATCGCCACCGTGCGATGTCTATTCTTTGAGGTGGTATGTGAGTTTGAATATATTAGTATTTTTTTTTAATTTAATGAATATTAGTGTGTAACCCAACTTATGCGTGTCTCGATTAATTCTCTCTCTTATCCAATCAAAGACAAGTCATCCAAGTTGTGGTTAGAGTATTCATAATAGATAAATTCCTTCTAATTTAGCTTCAAAGGATTGTCAAGATTCAAATTTAAAACGTTTAAATTTACAACTCGTTCTTATTACAACTTGAACTATCATCGGTGTTAATATGTTAGCATTTTGGACTCTGTTATTGAGGAGCAATCAATCTGCATTAATGTTTGGTTTGTGTAATGAGAAAAATACTCATTATATAACAATTCACGAAATTCTCAATTGGGCTTATGTTGAGTCCAGTTTAACTGAACAGGGCATTTTGGAGGTTCATTGGGCTCTCTGATGGCCCATTCCATTGACTTAGTACTTAGTAGTTTGCAACAACTAACCTTTAATCCGGAAAAAAATAATAACAAAATTTGAGTAATATTTTTGGTACTTAAAAAAGGGGAAGAGCACGGATAAGAAAGAATATCAGTCATTCAGCTCTGACGACGAGGTCCTTTTGTTGGGCGGAAAGCACGGTGCCCAAGCATCATCCCCTCATCGGGCTCACGAGCAGACGGATGCTGGGCTTCCCCGTAATTAACATAATTTGCTGAATTTTGGTTCTAATAATAATAATAAAAGAAATTGCAATTAAAATAATGTTGTTGAATTATGTTAATTCCCATATCATCAATCCAGCAAATTTGATTAAATTTTTAGGTCTAGTGATAGTTTGCCACTAAAATTTTGAAAATTGCAAAATTGTCCAATGGTATTTTCCCCCTGGGATACAATCGCAGTTCTAAATTGAATGTGTTTCTGTAAAATATTATCTTGTAGAGGAAAGTTGCAATTGAAACTTGTTATGAAAGGTCAAACAAAGGTCTTGTTTTTTTTTTTTTTGTTACAAGTTGTTTAAATTTGTGGTGACTATTTTTTTGAATTAAGATATTGGCCACAATAATTCGAACGAGTTTGGAACATGTCCTCTCAAGAATAATGATGATTGATTCTTAAAGAATATGAAAAATATTGAATCAGAAACTTTTAAAATTAAACAAATATTATCTTACTTAAAGCATCGAGGAAAAGAGCCATAGATGTTGAGAGAAAAATTCAAATTTATTTTAAATACAAATTTTGTTGGGTTTCCCTCCTTTGTGGGATTCATCAATTTGCTAATTTTTTGGTGGCTTACCCGTGTATGACTCTTATCCAAGACTTGGTTTGGAGTCTTCAAGTTAAAAGGAATTTGGCAGCCACCAAAGACTATAAGTTTTGTCCTTTTCTTTGGTTCATCTTTTCTCTGTTGGTTTGGCAAGAAGACATATTTTCGACAGTCTTTGGTTCAACAAAAATTCAGCCTTCTTCTTCTCCTTTTTGGTGCCAGAAAAATCTGTAAATTTGTTCTTCAAGTGGGTAACATTTCTTTACTTGATATTTGGGTTTCTTGCGGTTTGTTCTTGGAGATTTGGTTCACTTATTTTGTGAGGTATTTTCCTCTTGTGATTTACACCTTGGTGTGTTTGTAAGGCTTATGCCTTTTGGCCACTTTGTAATCTGATTTGGTGATAGTGGAAGAAACTGACCTACCGGTCGTCGTGGATGTACCTCAAGTTATTTGAGGGAACCACGTAAATCTTGTGTGCTTATTTATTTTCTGTTATTTTATTTATATTGCTTCCATTGATTTACACTTGTGGGAAAGCCTATTTTCCCAACATCTGGTATCAGAGCAATTGGTTAATTCGGTTCCGATTCGTTATATTTCTGTGTGTGAATTATGGACGGCAACGTTGGACGTATGGTTAGTTTCAATGGCACAAATTGGGTGACTTGGAAAACTAAAATGGAAGATCTTTTATTTTGTAAAGATTTGAATGGACCCATAGAGGGTGATAGTGGCAAACCGGAAGGGATGAAAGATGACGAGTGGAAAAAGCTAGACCGGAAAGCTGTCGGTTTTATTCGGCAATGGATTGATGATAGTGTCTTTCATCATGTCTCTACAGAAAAATCTGCACATTCTCTTTGGACCAAATTGGAGAGTTTGTATGATAGAAAGACGGCAGTGAATAAAGCCTTTTTATTTCGAAAGCTTGTGAACTCTAAATATAAGGAGGGTACTTCTATTGCAGAGCATTTGAATGAGATTAAGAGCATTGTGAATCAGTTGGCCGCCATGAAAATTACTTTTGATGATGAGTTGCAAGCTTTGTTACTTCTTAGTTCACTTCCCGAAAGCTGGGAAACTTTGGTGGTCACAGTTAGTAACTCCGCACCTGATGGAGTGGTAACAATGAGTCAAGTTACCAGCAGTTTGTTGAATGAAGAAACAAGAAGAAAATCATCAGGTTCTTCTTACTCCGAGACACTTGTAATGGAAAACCGGGGGAGAGGCAGGAGTAAGAGTAGGGTTCCGCACAACCGTGATAAATCTAGAGGTCGTTCAAGCTCGATGTCAAAAAAGGATGTTGAATGCTATTATTGTCACAAGAAAGGGCACATGAAGCGGGAATGTAGAAAACTCAAGTTCAAGGAGCAGAACAAAGAGAAAAATTCAGAGAAAAAGCAAATTGATACAGCTGTAGTTACCGATGATGAACTCATGATTATCCGTGATGATGCTAGCGTTAATTTGATTGGCCAAGAGACGGATTGGGTAATTGATTCTGGAGCTTCATTTCATGTTACTTCGCGGGCTGATTTCTTTACTTCTTACTCACAAGGTGATTTTGGGAATGTCCGTATGGGAAATGAAGATGTGTCAAAAATTGTCGGCATGGGTGACATTTGCTTGGAAACAAATATTGGATGCAAATTGCTGCTTAGAGATGTGAGGCATGTACCAGATATTCGACTCAATTTAATCTCTGCTGGAAAGTTAGATGATGAAGGCTACATCAACAATTTCAGTAATGGAAAATGGAAGCTCTCCAAAGGTTCTCTAGTGGTAGCAAAAGGAAAGAAGACTTGTTCTCTTTACACTATGCAAGCAAAAATCTGCAAGGGTGTTGTGAATACCTTAGAGAATGACTCATCCACTGATTTATGGCATAGAAGGCTTGGACATATGAGTGAAAAAGGATTGCAAGTTTTGTCCAAGAAAGAGCTTCTAGTGGGGATAAAAGGTACGCCTTTGAAAACTTGTGTTCATTGTTTCCATGGTAAACAAAACAGAATATCATTCCGTAGAAACATTGCATCTAGAAAATCTCATGTTTTAGATTTGGTACATTCTGATGTATGTGGTCCTTTGAAAGTTAGGACACTTGGTGGTGCTCTATACTTTGTCACTTTTATTGATGATCACTCTAGAAAAGTTTGGGCTTATACACTGAAAACTAAAGATCAAGTTCTAGATGTGTTTAAGATTTTTCAGGCCAAGGTTGAAAGAGAAACAGGTAGACAGTTGAAATGTGTTCGCTCGGATAATGGTGGTGAATATATTGGACCATTTGATCAGTATTGCACAAATCATGGTATCAGGCATGAAAAGACAGTTAAAAAGACACCTCAACAGAACGGGGTTGCAGAGAGAATGAATCGCACCATTCTTGAGAGAGTCAG